CGCAGCCCAGAGAGAGAGCGATCAGCCAAAATAAGGGCAAACGCTGATCGCAACCCAGAGAGAAAGCGATCAGCAAACAAGCTAGTGAAAGTGAGAAGCGCCTGTAGCCGCTTGTTAGCATAAGCTACAGAGGAAGTGTAGCGCTGCGAGCCGCAGCCGCTCGTGCCGTTTTGGCGCGAAATTCAAACAGCTGTCAGCTGAAGCACATTCAAATGCAACACAGCGTTGTATTAGGAAATCGCTAACGCCCACACAGGCGCGAATTTCAAAAGACGCTGCCAATGACCGTTGCAGTCTAAACACCTTCTGATCCCCAGAGAGAGAGAAGGGAATTGCGAAACTTCCCCAGAGCTGAAGTCACTTGCCTAGCACAGGCACTAAACCTCTACTGCTACCCCAGAGAGAGAGAGAGAGCACTTGCCTAGCACAGGCACTAAACCTCTACTGCTACCCAGAGAGAAAGCATTTTATCCAACAGGTTAACCAGTAGACCCACAACATGAACTCCAATCCAGCCTTCCCAGCGTTCAAGCCAGATGAGGAGAAGTGGGAATCATACAAGAATCGATTTAATTATTACATCGACGCCATCGGATTGGCTGAGGCAGGGGAACACCGAAAGAAAGCACATTTCCTGACCTACTGTGGAGCCATCGTTTTCGATACAGCCACAGCTCTTGTGGCTCCACGTGAGTTAAAGAATGTCCCCTGGACAGAACTGTTAGAAATCCTTACTAACCACTATTCTCCTAGACCTTCACAGATTGCCAGACGCTTCACCTTCAGAATGAGGAAGCAGGGGGACAAAGAGAGCATCAATCAGTACATGGCTGCTCTCAGGACTGCAGCACTCCATTGTGGGTTTGGCAGCTATCTTGATGACATGCTCCTAGACCAGCTGGTCTGCGGGGTCAAGGACCTGCACCTACAAAGACGGCTGCTCGCCAAAAAAGACCTTAACCTCGCTCAAGCCATCGAGGTAGCCCTGGCAGAGGAGATGGCATCTCATTCAGCCACCGAGATCCAAGGTCCTGTCACCAAGCAAACAGCAGTTCCCGTCCACTCAGAAGAGGTGGTCAACGAGGAAGACCCAAGTGACGAGGCCGACATTCACCGCCTCACAAACGCCAGGCGCCCGCAGGCAGGAACCAGACAAGATAACACCGGGCCATCCAAGCACATCACCCTGTGCCTTTCCTGTGGTGGACCTCACCTGAGGACCACATGCAAATTCAAAGGAGCCACTTGCAACAACTGCCATAAGAAGGGGCACATTGCAAGAGTATGCCAAGCCTCACACAACGTAGCACAAAGGGCATCTTCATTCACACATGCCGGGCCCCAAAGGCAAGTATTAAACTGTCGCACACACCTCTGCGCTAATCACACTTGCTATTCTATTAGTAAAATCTCTCTTTCCGTCTTATTAGAAGGTAAACCTTGCAACATGGAGGTTGACACGGGGTCAGCGCTCTCCATTATTTCCTGGAACACCCTCAAGGAGCTTCAACCCAGCCTATCAAGAAACCGACTCCAGAAGTGCCAGCTTAGCCTAAAGGACTACCAGGGGAAGACCATTCCTGTAATCGGCAGAGGCAAGTTTTTTGTTAATTTTAAAACCTTTAAGGGCCACCTACCTCTAGTGGTAGTGAGCGGCAACCTCCCTACACTTTTGGGACTTGATTGGTTTCCCCACCTCGGTTTAGGGCTAACAGGAGTCCATGCTACCTCAACCTCTGACACGGACTCCCTGTTTGCTGATTACTCAGACGTATTCAGTGATGAGTTAGGGTGTTATAACGGCACCCCTATCTCATTTTCAGTCGATCCCCAGGCAGTCCCAATTCGGTTAAAACCTCGCAGAGTTCCATTCGCCATTCGGCCTAAATTAGACCTTGAATTAGATAAATTACTAAAACAAGGGATCCTGGAGCCTACAGACTTCGCCAAATGGGAGACGCCCATCGTCACACCCCTCAAAAAAGATGGTAGCCTGAGAATTTGCTCAGACTACAAGACCACAATCAATAAATTCTTGCAAGTTAGCGCTTATCCAGTACCTGTCATTCAGCATTTATTACATACTTTTGAACCTGGCACCATCTTTGCCAAATTGGACATGTCTCAAGCATATCAACAGTTCCCTGTTGATGACCAAACGGCAGAACTTCAGACCATTGTCACCCACAGGGGTGCCTTCAGGTGCAAGCGTCTCCAGTTTGGCGTAAGTGTTGCCCCAGGCATTTTTCAATCCCTCATGGAGCGGATTTTACAGGGCCTTCCTGGAGTAGTACCCTACTTCGATGACATCTTAGTCTCGGCCAGGAACAGACCCCAACTCTTCCAGAGAGTTCGAGCAGTCCTAGAGAGGTTCAGGCAGCATGGCCTCAAGTTAAAAAAAGAAAAATGTGCCATTGCCACTAGACAGGTGGACTTTCTGGGTTATAAAATTGACGCCTCAGGCATTCACCCCCTGGAGTCCAAGGTTAAGGCAATACACGAGGCACCCACTCCAACCTCCAAAGCGGAACTGCAGGCCTTTTTGGGGCTCTTGAACTTTTACGCGTCGTTCCTGCCCCATAAAGCCTCTGTGGCAGAACCCCTCCACAGACTTCTGGATAAAAAAACGGTTTGGCATTGGGGACACAAAGAAGACTCCGCTTTCCGCGCAGTCAAGTCGCTACTCACATCAGAGGCAGTGCTTATCCAGTTTGACCCCAACCTTCCATTAGTACTGGCAGCAGACGCATCTCCCTTCGGAATTGGGGCAGTCTTAAGCCACAGGCTCCCCAACGGCTCCGAGGCCCCTATCGCTTTTTTTTCCAGGACGCTCTCTGCAACAGAGCGCAATTACAGTCAGATCGATAAAGAAGCCTTGGCAGCTGTTGCAGCGGTGAAGAAATTTCACGAATTTCTCTTTGGCCACTTTTTCGAGCTAGTCACGGACCACAAACCGCTCTTAGGGTTACTAGCAGGTGACAAGCAGACCCCTCAAATTCTGTCCCCCAGAATGACCAGATGGACCCTTTTCCTAGCAGCATACTCGTATAGACTCGTGCACCGCCCAGGTAAAACATTGTCCCACGCAGACGCCCTCAGCCGCTGCCCCCTGCCTGCCCCAGCTGAAGACCCTGCCCCGGTCAACGCCATTTTTGAAGTCACCCAACTGGACCTCCCAATCACTGCCCTTGATATTGCCAATAAATCCAAAGCGGACAAAACGATCGCCCAGGTACTGGACTGGGTGAGGAGGGGTGGCCGGGCAGTGACATTGAAGCTAAATTCACTCCATTTAAGACCCGCTTACAGGAACTATCGAGCTTACAGGGCTGCCTGCTGTGGGGCACTCGAGTGGTCATCCCGACATCTCTGCGTACCCGAGTGCTGGAGGCGTTGCACGAGGGCCACCCGGGCATCGTCAGAATGAAGGCGTTGGCGCGAAGCTACATTTGGTGGCCCGGCCTCGACGAGGACATCAACAAATGGGTAAGCTCCTGCCATCCCTGCCAGGTTTCCCGTCCATCCCCTCCAATTGCCACCCCCACCAAGTGGGAAAGTGCCAACGCACCCTGGTCCAGGATTCACATCGATCTCGCAGGCCCATTGCATGGCAAAATGTTCCTCGTGGTCGTAGACTCTTACTCAAAGTGGATTGATGTGGCACAACTATCCACGACCACTTCACAAGCAGTCATCAAGGCATTGACTCGCCTGTTCGTTACGCACGGTCTACCAGACTCCATTGTTTCCGACAATGGTCCCCAATTCGCGTCAACCGAATTCAGTCGTTTTACGGCCAACCTGGGCATTCGTCACATCTTCACGGCCCCCTTTCATCCTGCCAGTAACGGGCTGGCAGAGAGAGCCGTTAGGACCACTAAAGAAGCCCTGGCCAGGTTCAACAAGGATGACTGGCACCACAGACTATCCTGTTTCCTGTTAAGCCAGCATTCAACCCCTTGCACGGTAACCAACAAGTCCCCGGCCGAGCTTCTGATGGGCAGACGCCTGCGAACTGTATTGGACAGGCTTCACCCACATTACTGCCCTGACTCTCCTCTCGCTTCCACATCGGGGAGTAGGCATTTTGTCTTGCAGGAACCCGTGTTCGCGAGAAACTTCGCTGGCGACCCATTGTGGATCCCGGGAGAAATCGTAGCCATCACAGGACCCAGATCATACCGGGTTAAGCTGGAAGATGGCCGGGTCTGGAGACGACATCTGGACCAGCTTCGGAGACGCCAGGGCACCCTCGTCAGCCGCGACTCGTGGGCACAGACTGGTGAGAGTCCGCTGCAACTACCACACAGCAACATCTACCCCGATGACCTGCTAACACCTTCTAGCCCCGGACCTGCTCCGACCGAGGGTGGTACTCAGGACTCATCATCGAGCCAACAGTCACCGACGGACTCTGATCCACCAAACAGCACACCAGAGTTGCGCCGCTCTGGACGTCAGCACAAACCTCCCGTATACCTCAAGGACTATGCGTGTTCGCATCTGGGGGGAAGGGGTGTTATGTCCCTGGACCTTGAAGAAGTTCCCACCCAGGTCCGTCCTCGCTGCAGGGGCGGCTGCCCCTTCTCATTGGCTGGGTTTCCCCAGCAGCCTGCTATAAAAGCAGGCTGCTGGGTCCAGCCCTTTCGCTGTTCGCTGCGAGCCAGTTCCAGGCTGAGCAAGCACGTTCAGTCCTTGTAAATAAACCTTGTTGCACTAAGCCCTGGTTCAGCCTCTTATTTCCCATACTTAATAGTTTGCTTAAAATTGTTATTTACTACCTTATTACTTGTATCTATTTTGGGAGGTATATAAGCTATAGAAGTTTTGAAGTTGGAGATATTTTAAGCCTGAAACTATCCAAACTGTGTAATTAGTATATGTTTTCTAAAAGCAAAATTATAAATAGATTGTCCACAACAATAATAGGGGCATTGTGTAGGAATATTATTAGTCTTTGTAAGATTATTAGTCTTTTTAAGATTCAGACCAGATGCCTATGAGAGTTTTTTCCCTAAACCCTACCTTGTAGAATGCTTCAGTTTCAATGCTATATCTGTCCTGATGTTTAATTGTACAGAATATCAGATATGATTTGGTAAACATGCTATTGAAGTAATTCTCACTTTAATTATATTCAAGACAAACATTCATATTGAGCTTTAAGCAAAAATTATTACTTAAAAGTCCCACTATATTCAATACAAGTAAATGTAAAATGTTTGCTAGCTAATTTGACTAATTATACTAAGGAATCTGTCCAAGCAACTTCATGTTTCACAATAGGTCATTGAAGATATTCCAAATTATTTATTGGTTAAAGCTATTATTCATTTTCCACCAGTAACACATACAGTAAGATTTTATTGATTCAAAAATAATTTTGTAACACGCATATGAATAAAAGAAGATTTTTTTTCTTTGTACCACTTACCCCATAAGATGGCTGGACTGAAGCAACAATTATTAGGCACCTAATTCATAGGAAGACACAGATTAAATTATGATAATCAGCCTTTAATTGATATAAGAAAATCTTACTGCAAAGATTTAAAAGAATTAGAAAAATGATTAGGATTTTTTTCTTTATTTTTCTAACTCAGTGGCTCGGTTTGCATTATACATAGTTTAAGATATGATTAAGAGTTGTTCCTTTTGTCAGACATATTCAGCCAATGTTACTTTAGATCATATGGGTCTTAAAAATTGAGAAAATTGAAAAAAATATAGTTAAGTATGGGATGGAATATTGAGTAAACGTATCACCTTCATCTCAAGATATAAAGTGGGAAGACTATAAAATTGTGGATTCACTATCCTATGTATCATTTATGAATTCTTCATAGTTCCTTGTGAATATAGTCACATATTTGCACACTTAATACAGATAGTCCTCGACTTATGACCACAACTGAGCACAAATATATGATGTTAAGCATGTTAGTTGTTAAGTGAGTTGTGCCATGGTGGTACTGTGGTTAGATTACAGTATTGGAGGCTAATTCAGCTCACTCTCAGGAATTCGATTCTCACTGGCTCAAGGTTACTCAGCCTTCCATCCTTCTGAGGTCAGTAAAATGAGGATCCAGATTGTTGGGGGCAATATGCTGACTCTGCAAACTTCTGAGAGAGGCTGTAAAGCATTATGAAGTGGTATATAAATCTAAGAGCTATTGCTACTGCCCCATTTTACAACCTTTGTTGCCACAGTTGTTAAGTGAATCACTTCAGTTGTTAAGTTAGTAACATAGTTGTTAGGTGAATCTGGCTTCTCCATTGACTTTGCTTAGCAAAAGGTTGCAAAAGATGTTCAAATGACCCTGGGACACTGCAGGTGTCATAAATGTGAGCCAGTTGCCAAGCATCCAAATTTTGATCATGTGACCAATGGTTATAAGCATGTAAAACAGTCATGTCACTTTTTTCAATGCCACTGAATCTTCGAACAGTCACTAAATGAATGATCGTAAGTTGAGGACTACCTGTACCACCTTCCTTTAACAAAATACACATCCCACCTACAAGTATGAGATAATTGCCATGCAGTATAGTATCCATAATGACAACCTTTGCCCTAATCCATAGATTATTTCACATGCTTTACATAATGGAGAAGTTTATAGTTTATAAGTTTACAGGACAGTTTTGTACATTATCCTAGTTTAAATCATGGCTAGCTCGTTTGTGCTTCACTAAGGTAAGTGAACCCAGCTTATATACTAGTTGGTGTTAAAAGAAAACCATGGAATAATAGCTTTTGTTTTAAGTATCTTTTTTGCCATCCTCTTTTGCCAACAGAAAATGAGATGTCATATAATTTTTTTATTTCTCTTATTTGTTGTGTTGTCAGGTAATCTCTACACCTAATTGAATTACAGTTAGTGTAGACTTGGCTCTAGAAAAGTAAACTAAGCATCCTGGTCATAGAATAGAGATTTACCACCTCATGTTTCTCCCTGAAACCAAAGTTGTAAAGTTTTATGTCTCTATTGGAGGATGCTTGAAACCCTTACTTTGATTTTCTTAATTTTTATAGAGCTTTTCCATATTAAGTAATAGATACAAATGGTCAACTTATGGGAAATGAACTTTAGCTCTTCTAGAGGGCACCAGATTCCTTACCTCTGCATTGTACCATTCAGCACAAACATAGTTCATGACACTTTAAAAATTTTATGGCAAAGATGGATGGCCTAAGAAAATAGGAAATTAAGGAATAGAAAGAGCTAAAGCTCGAGTGGGAACATGAGTAAATTAGAGAAATCCTATTTCTTAAATCAACAAAATTAATATGTATATATTTGTGCTTATATTTTGAATTTTGTCAGTATCTGGCAAATATATGGGTAAATACCAGAGGCAATCAATTTCAGGTAGCACCAATAAGATTAAAAACCAGCAGACTTGAGTCTGCTTCTGTTTTCTATTTTGAAAGTTATTACTATAACTAGAAGGGAAAACATACCATACACATGTAATGAATTTAATCCAACATAAGCAATTCATTATGGATGTAGTTTATATTAATATATTTGAATCCAGGCCTTCAATATTTTAATTTTTAATAACCAAGGCTTGATCCCATTGCAGCTATGAAAACCACATTCAACATTCTTCTTGGTTTTGTGATCTGCTGGGAAAAAAAGTATGACAAACTTTAATTTTATGCACAAATATTTTTAACTTTACACTTAAATTGAGATATTTTGCCAATATTAGCAGACTTTTCTGTAGTGAAATACTAATGTAAATGGTCTTCTGGTGTCACAAAATAAATGTTCTTGCTTTCATTTAGGAGCCTGGGTGGTGCAGTGGTTAGAGTGCAGTACTGCAAGCTACTCCTACTGCAATTTGGCAGATTGAATCCCACCAGGATCAAGGTGGGACTCAGCCTTCCATCCTTCCAAGGTGGGTAAAATGAGGACCCAAATTGTTGGGGACAATATGCTGACTCTGTAAACCGCTTTGAGAAGGCTGTAGAGCACTATAAAGTGGTATATAAGTCAAAGTGCTATTGCTATTTATATATCCACAACAAGATTCCCCATGTAACTTTGTTTTCAAAAGCAAAAATATAATCAGTCAATAATTCTCAAGTTTGTTTAAACATGCATGTTAAAAAAAATCATTGTACATTTCAGACACTTCCGATACCTGGAAATGCTCCTATTATTCATGGTAGGATTATTTACAGGCACCCGTAAATGTGTCTTTATTTCAGTTTGGGTTTTAGCTATGTCCTAATGAAGGAACCATCAAAGGACCTGATACAGGTCTCATTCAGTTCTCCATTCCAGAGCAGTGCAATTCAAGGAACTTGATTTATGAGAATGAGTAATTTAGTATCAAATTTATTTTGAAAATGTGTAAGAACTTCTATTTTGGGGGGCCAAGATATCTTTTGTCCTTTTTTTAAGAATCAAGAGAATTCTTATGAGTGCTTGGAATATCTCTTTCTAGAACCCCAGTCCTTAGAAAACCATTTTAAATCAAGTAGAAATATGGAGGCAAATATAAAGCTAATTTGTTTTGACATTATTTTCTAATTAAATAGCTACCTTTAAAAAATAGCTGAATACTAACACTGGCACACCTAGTAGGAGTTCTGAGTTCCCTCTGAATAACAAATTCCTTCCATATCACAAGTCTTTTCCGAAGAGAGATTTGAGAGTAACATAACATAACAGAAATAGTTGCAAAAAGGGTTTAGAATAAGGCCAAAAAAAAAGTCTTACATTTGTTTAGAGTCTGAATAGCTGAGATTCAAAAATGATTCTAGGATTTTCAAGCTTGAAACCCAAATATTGTCTTTTACAAGTTTAGCATAGGAAAAAAATCTTCATTCAGAAGAACATACATTGCATTAAACCGTAGCATGCTTTTATCACCTGTAATTTAGCATGCTGGCCTGGTTTAGCCATTATGCAGAGTAAAATATGAAGAATACTCATTTTCTCACTAAAATCATAGTTAGCTGAACCATGGTTTCACATAATATCTAAACCAGAGGTCTCCAAACTTGGCAATTTTAAGATTTGTGGACTTCACCTTCCAGAATTCTCCAGCCAGCTAGCTAGCTGGAGAATTCTGGGAGTTGAAGTTCACAAGTCTTAAAGTTGCCAAGTTTGGGGACCCCTGATCTAAACCATACCAAAGTCTGCCAAACAAACAAACTGAATATGTCTTTAAAATATTACTTGCTTTTTTTTTCTAGAAGGGGCATCATCTTGAGGAAACATAGACAGCATCTATCATGCTTAACTCTGATTCTGTTAAGTGTGTCACATAATACCTCAACAATCCATTTTAAGCCTCTTCATGTCAGTATAGTTAAAATTCTAAGCTCCCTTGACAATCTTTGAATAAATATTAAAATACCTTCTCAGTCAACATTATTTTACAGTCTTAATAATAAACAGAAAGTGAGTGATAGTGACAGGGAAATCCTGAAACTTTATAAAGGACAATATCTGAAAGAACATGTAACATTCCAGATTAGCTTTCAAGAACTAACACCGGAACTAACACCATCTTTTCTTGGATCGGTTAATGTAAAAAGTCTTACAGACAAGGTAACGAATCATCTTACTGCACCTGCTGTTATAAATCATTCTCATATGAGGGTAACTCAAGGCCAAAACTTTTTATTCTACATGTATTAGCATAAATTATGTACATCACGTATACTAAAAAAAACCTGCCACTTCTACCCTCTCTATAGTAAAAACAATTTGCCTTAATGGGTGAAAATAATAATGTCCAAATGTTTCTGTAAAAACTCCTTTTGTCACAGCTTTGGATGTGAACCCTAATGTGATTTTTAAAATTGCCATGAAAGAGTAATTTTACGCATGATCAAACTTAAAGTGCAAAGATCTGGACTACCACAAAAAGGAAGGAACAAGAAACTATGAACATCCTCTAGTGGCCATCCAGATTTTTGCACTCCAGACAAGGTAACCCTTATATTTAATGAGATTGTGAGCTTATCTAATTCAGGACTTTGATACTGTACTAATCTGTTTGTTAAGTAGACAAACTGTTTAGCTGGGTTGTGCATTCCTTTCAAATAATTTGGAAGGAGTAATTCAGAATTATGCAACCACAGCACATCCCTGCTCCTTCTGGCTATAACAACAACTTGCAGCTATTTCAAGAGGCACAGTCTCTTTTTTTCCAAAAATCTGAAAAAATAGACAAGCAGTTTTAAGAAATAGCAGTGAGGTATTGAACTTGTGTAAAATCTAAAGCACTGATTCCTAATTATTTTTAACATTTGCATAATTCTATTAATTAAAATTCTGAAATCCAAAGACTTCAGTATATATCTTCAGTATTTCCCACTGAAGATATATCTAAACAACAGTTTGCTTATTCCAAACCAAAAGTAGGGCTATTGCACCTGGACTACAACAAACTGAATAGTAGCAAAGAGATTCAGAACCGTCTAATTGATATAGCAACAAAAATCCAATCAGGGACGTACTGTGGCCTGGTATAAAGAATTAACAAAATACAGCTGCAAAGTCCCCTTTTTCTGATTCTCAGGGTTGTCCAGGACCCAGATGGTTGCAAACTGGTGGCAAATTACACACCAACAAGCCTTTTAGCCTTTTTTCCAGGCATATTTAGGGTTCAGCAAGGAAAAAGGAGGGCATATATTTAAATGGTTAGCTAGCAGCTTTGGGCTGTGCTGCTCATCCCAAGCCACAGGAAATAAATATCAAGATATCTTCAGGTTTGATCCAAACTGGTCAAAGTTTCTGAGCACCATTCACTTGTCTCGGGATATCTGGCCATTATTCCAATTTGTATCTAGTAAAAAGGAAAAAAAAAAGAACAGGGATTTCCCCCAAGCCCTGCCCTGCCCTGCCAAGTCCCTATGGCATTGTGGCCATATCATGCAATGAAATACCAACTCATCTTAAGTTGTCCTTAGCTGCACCAGCATTAAAGAAATATTTCCTCTTGTATCCCAAATATCAGGATGTGAATAGTTTGTTAGGCTTTGTCACTCATTAGCTTGAAGGAAGAGCAGAAGTAATTGAGAAGTAATTGAGAAGGCAGGCCCTAGAGGCAGGATTTCCCATGGAAGAGCAAATGTCATCCTGCACACTTTTCTGCCAACTCAAAGACAGATGGCAAAGATGGCAAAGATCTCTAGCGCAGCCTTCCCGATCAGGCAATCCAGATGTGGTGGAACATTGACCCCTGGACCGCACTGTATTCTGAGAGTTTGGGTCCCAGCACATCGGATACTTGGCTCGGGATGCTACCTTCTCCTCCCCCTCGACCCCCCTCACAACCCCCCCTTCCTTTCCCCTCCACGTTCTTCCGACGGGGGTACCTGACTTCGAGGAGACCCGCCCCTGAAGCTTGGGGTCCTCGGCTCCCGCCCGGCTGCTCCTCCGTCTGTGTTTCCTCCTCTAGGGCAAAGTTCTGCCGCTTTCACGCTTGTCTGCTCTCCTCCCGCCACCCCAAGGAAGGAGGAGCTTGGACGCGCCGGGTGGGTGAGTGAGTGAGTGAGTGACACCAGGACCGTGGCGAAATTGGGGACCGCAGACCTGTGACACTGGAAAGGAAGGGCAGGAGTGCCGCGAGACATGAAGAGGCCCGTGCGCCCCCAAACCTGGCATTTGGGGCTAGCCTTCATTTACATGCTGGCTCTGGGGGGCTGGGAGCAGGACGGCTTCCCTACTGCTGTTGCCGCGAAGGTGAGTGTAGTCAGATGCTGACCGGGCTAAAGCGGCTTTCTCGCTGCGGAGTAACTCGAAGGAGGATAGCCCCCCCCCACTTCACCCCCCCTCCATCCCCCGCCTGGGGACTGTATCTTTCAGCGGGGCTCCGGTGTCTTTAACGGAAAGAAATGTCAGTGCAACGTTGCCACCCGGCAAGATGGTTTCATCCCTTGAAGTTTCTTTGCTTATTTGTAGCGTTTTCTATCCTGCTTTTCCGTTAGATAAAACCAACAGTGGGTACAACTCATTAGAAACTAGTTTTGAAACACTTTATCTGTAAGTGGGGACAAGAGAGACAGATCGCAGTTCCCTGCTTTGCCTGAAAAATTCTTTGCCCAAGTCTAAGAGGCAGCAAAATCTTAGTTTGAAGCGAGGGGATCGCGCTAGGATGA